TGGACTAGATTTCGTTTTATATTTAGGGGAACAAAGCTGTGAAAGTTAGTGTTTTTACGGCCAAGCATAGCCTGGTTAGTTCTGGTATTAAGTAATACAGCGTTTTTTCTCCCATTTCCGCTCTCGCATATTAAGGAAAATAGGACATTCCAGAGCAATCGTAATCCCCTCTAGAACACCCTCGAAATCGTGAAAATTCGATTCCCAAGTAATAAGCCAAAGGAAGGAAGAGCGTTCGCTGGAAAGGATTGTTTTGTATCTAACGTTTCAGATAGTTGTGTCATCTATCTTCAGAGAATGACTACTCTGGCTCATAGCCCTCGCTATATGCCGCTATTTTTTTCCGCATGAGTATTCTGCTATTCTGGCTGAGCTGCTATGTGTGTCTCGCGTCTCGCTGTTGGCCTCCTCGTTGACCCTGTCTGTCACCGTGGCTCTAGTGTAGAGTATTCATTCTGTGAAGATGGGCAGACGAGGCAACTACCCGAAACCTCAGATTCAAAATAAACCTCTCCATGTAAACGCTCTTCTTTTTGTGATCCTAAAATTTATACTTTATTGCTCCAGTCGTTTTGGCAGAGTTCTGCACATGTTTGACACTTAATCTTCCTCTTTTTCACAGCTGTGGGATCTCCATCAACCACCGCTTCCCTCCTACGAGGTGTTGCCGAGCTGGGTATGTCAAAACTCAGTCGCTCACTGTCACGCAGTCAGAATTTGGTGACGGAGGCGAAGTCACCAGCGCTTACTTCTACTCCACCTCCACCTGCCGCACCCATCATCGTCGCTCCACCATCACCTCCAAAAGTCTGCAACTTTCTCAAAGGTATGTCTATTGTATCCGTCTTACTTGACTGTTACTCTTCTTTGTCGGCGTGTTTCTGTCTCTACCTGAGAGTTCTGCTTTGCCAGCCGTACTATTATCATTCCATTTGGACGCTCTTCTCCTATTTTGTTCGGGCGAGTCGTACTGAACACATTGTTATGGAATTGCCATAAGCATCGCTGGTCGTCCGTCCAATAACGCCTCCATTGGATGAGAAAGGCAGACGAATAGAAGTTTATTACAGCGTAGATAAGACGAAATTGCCGAATGTAGAACTGAAATCTGACTAATCAGATTGTGCTCTTGAGTGGTTAGCGTATCGATTGGACTAGTTAACCAACCAATTCCTCTCGGGAGCTGGTGCGACATCAACAGCACGCGTGCGGTATGCAAGCGAATCGATGAGGCAGCGTGCGAACAAGTCAGTTAGGATGGCTTCGTCCAACAAGAAAAAACGAGTTATTTCGTCAATTGGCAATCGCTAAAGTTACAACTGCTTGAGTATCATGATTTTTTCAAGCGCGTTTGACTTTTCGTCCTTAAGAACCTTAGGGCTGGATTCCAACAGACTCGGCTTCTCTCTCGCTGTTCTCTTTCCCATGGATCAGTGACTCATCCGGGTCCCCTGACTGGGAATGAGATTGGCAACAGTGGTTGAAATTACATGGTGTCGCCGTATGGCGCCTTCCACTCAAGGGCTCGGAGTCCGTATATCTAGAAGGCTGCATTAAGATGTCATTGTAGCCTGGTCTTCGTTCCAAACAAGAAAGGAGTTATCACATTAGCCGGCTGTTATCCAAACCATGTTATAATTTCAAGGACTTGCACCTGAATTAGCTTATGGTGATAGAAAAAGTTCGCAGCAGCTTCCGCATTCACCCACCTGGCTTCCGTGTCGAGACAGAATCAAGACGCTCAAAAGCGGGAACAAGTTCACGTGACTGGCGCGACCGGAGCCACACCTGGCTCGGATCCTCGCTATGTGGGAGTGCCATAGACACCAAATTAAGAATGAGCCATTTTGGCCTCTGTACACCAGTCGGCCATTCCACACAAATACGCACTGGGTTGATTTCAAAGACCGAGTTATCCCGTCTGTTGATAGCCTTCAGAGCCACAGCTTTCATCGCACCGTGATAAATTCGAACGCAACAGGTATTTATAGTGAGGAATATGAGCTGAGATAGGCAACCTCACTCTTCACCCTCCCAGATACCGGCCCATTACTAGAATCGGTCAATCTTGTGATGCGGGGATTGGGCTCACTGGCTGATAGATTTAGTGACTTCGTACGTGTGTGCCACATGGAAGACGTGACCGCCCACACATACAAGAAGACATTAGAATTTCACAGCTCGGGGCAGGGTGTCTTTGATATTTCATGCGTGAAAATGGTGTAGGGGCTAAACGAAGTGGGAGTCATTGCAGCTTGACTTTCAGTCCGCCAGTTTGCCACCGTACATAAACACACACTGGTTGCCAAATACTGGGTATAAAAAATTCACTGTCATCGACAACAATATCATCTTCCGGATCTTTAAAGCCAAGCTGCGAAATTCCTCCTGGGATCACTGCGGCTTCCTTGTCTAGGGTTACGCTCTGAATGAGGATATTCAGGTTAGCTTACCTTACCCCAACTCTTCACCACTAATAAGCGCCTAAAAAGAATCGAAACCGACCTTTCGTTCTACTCTAAAGTCTGCGTGATCGCTGCGGTCGGTGTATGATTCGTGGTAGATAGGAAGTGAACGAAACTTCTGCCTTTCAGTCTTATTTCTCTCGACTTTTGATTGATGGCCATTTACGGCACTTTTCGAGGACCGTCAATAGGAACGGAACTCCAAAGCCAATCCGGCAGATTTACACATGATTAAATTTCCCCACAGTGATTCCATATATAATTTGGCTAATCGCTGATTGGTTAACTGGACAATGTTCTCTGATGTCAGTCCTTCCAGACCAAAAGTTCTGTTGTGGCTAGTTGTAGCTTGTCCGACTGTCCCCACCACCTCTTTCCCTTTTTTCCCTGTTAGGCACATCTCCTCCACCCTGCACAAATATCTATGCTCAACTCTGGAACGCGTTGCTTCTCCTCGTCAGGGATCCCTGTCCGTCCGTCTCCGATCTGGCCGGAATCGTCCTCATGTACATCCTCGAGAAGGTTTGGCCAGCCCCTCATGGCTAATTTTTCTTTAATAATCAAACTTACTTGTGCAGCCTGACTGAAGGAGATGCTACATAGACTTCTAAAATGTGTTTACGAGTTTTCGCAGCTAACGGCAAGAACACATCTGGTGAAAAATTCTTCAGTGGTTGAGTGCGTTGACTCATCATGGGGCGCGCGGCGTCCCAACATTAACCCAGTGTGAAAAGTGCACTGCGGCAAAGTCTTGCAAAATACTGAAGTTTGCGAAAGATGGATGATCACCCACAAACTGGCCTTAGAAAAAATTAAGAATAACCTGCGAATTATTTTACTTAAATATAAGAAAGTAAAATTTCCGTAATTTTACGTTCTACAGACGTAAAACTAGCTATCAATTAGATCAATAAATTTAAATCTAGTACATAGGTGTACACCGATCTTATCGTCAGTTAAATGGATATTCTTACCGCTTTCTTTTTATAAAGCGGACTTTTTCTTAGTCAACATATTTTAAACATATAACCGTTATTTAATTGCAATTACTTATAGATTATTCTTTAAATTCCGGTAACTTTTCGATGATTTTCTGTGCTTTCAAGTTTTATTTCATAAACATAGATTGTGTTCGATGTTCATATCAAATAAAGTAAAAAATATGTATATTGAAAGTATTTACCGAAGAAGTGGGTATTAGTTCTTATGAAGATGGCCATGTGGGCCATATTTAGAAATTCGTCGAAACAACAAAACACATTGTCGAGCAAAAAGAGCGTCCACAACCGAAGTCTGGCATTCTCCCTCTTCGTGATAATATATATGCAGTTTTGGTTACCATCCAAAATGGTTGATACGGTAAAACAAAATGTGGTCGAAACTTTTTTACTGCTTTCTTATGACAAAAACTTCCAACATTGGCAAACAATATTTTTTAAACTAAATTTTTCCTTTTTTCTGAAAGGTCGCGTGATTCCTCAAACTTAGCTTCACCTGAATTTCGTCATACTTGTGACTAGATTCTTCTATTCTGGAAGCGATATATTTTAAACTTTTCTTGCTTATATTTACGTCCTCTCATAGCATAACGCATATAATTAGAAGGCTTGGTTGTGACGCACTAAAAAGCATGGGAAATTTCGTCGATGTCAGGGTTCTTCCGATTTCGCTAAAATTAATGCTTAATACCCTCAATATACTGAACCCAAAGTATATTTTTCCTTACTGAAAGGATTTCTCCGGATTAAATCAACTCGATAGATCAAAATTATGTGACAAAATCTGTGCTAAACTACTAAGCCCAATTTCCTCATAACTATTTCACGAATTTCCTGCGATACTGTAGTTGTTTTCTACAGAATGAAATTTTGTATGCGCTTACGAAGATGCTCGTTCGAAGGTCAAGATCCTGCCGTGGGATTATGCCGCATGATATTTAATTTAACAGGGCTAATCAAGTAATTGTATCGAAACGGAAACGCACATCGCTAATTTAACTCACCATTTCCTGAGAGAGCACCACTGCATGTTAATGGGTATTTCAACTCCAACTGAGTACTCATAATTAATAAAGAAAAACATTTCGGAAGTTGGATTGATGCTTTATTAGGTGAACCGCTTGTTTGGAGTGCGCTTGCATGAGGGAGACCCCACGAAATGTACAAAGAACCACGCGGCCGTAACCTTTCTGTGTTCCAAGAAGAAGCTTCACTTTTTAGTTGAACGGCTGTTCTTTGTTTTGCCAGGGTGATATTCTGAAACAGGTGTTTTGAAAACGTTGTTTTATAAATGTCTCACTTCGAATATGTTCGGGCTATGCTATTCTCCTGATCCCTAATCATGCAAATTCTGTAGAAATCTTAAAAATCCCGCTGTGGATGAACATACTTGAATTCGTGAAGGTCCTTAAACTGTAACCACTGGCTTTTCTGCTAATTATTTATTTGTCTATATTTGTGCTTATGTAATTTGTGCACTTATCATGCCTTTTTTCACTCTTTTAGCTCATAAAAAAGGTGAGTTGTTTTTTTTTGTTTTTTTTTCGTCCTATTTTAATGAGTGCCCGTCCCTTTGACTTCTACATCATTTGTATCACGACTCTGACTTTGTTTTTCTGTCTCACGCTGTTGTCTAAACTTATCACCTAGCACTCTCTGGACACAGTCATCTCCTTGGCTGACGGGACGGTCCGCATTAAGACCTCCACCGGTGCTTTCGAGGATGGTGGTGGCTACGCCAGCAGCCCCCCTTCGGAGAAGGGCTCACCCAACGTGTAAATACCTTATTTTTCGTACTGTTTTCACTTTAACGATCGTTTTATTCATTTTTAAATTTAACATTGCCTGCGCGCGTTTTTTCCCTTAGGTTTGGATCGCCTTCGCAGCCACTTGTCGTCTCCGCCTCCTCTTCAAATCTTATCCATTCTGCACAGTTCCCGGGCCGACGGACAAGGCATCCTGACCTGACAGTGCTTCAGGAGGCTCCAGTAAGTGTCCGTTTTGTTTTAAATCCTAGGGTGGGTAAGGTTATAATATCTAATCAGAGTGTGCTTAATCTGCAAAACTTGCTACTACATTTCTTAAAGTAGGCATTGTTCGGTTACTGTCTTCCCCAGGCTAGGAGCCTGCGTCTGGTTATCTACTGCTGACCCCGATTACATAATATATCCTGGTCCTTAAGTAGTTTAGCCCAGCGTAATTAAGGCACCCTGATAATATTTATCCCTTGAGTTCCGTTCAGTATTTATTAACCAACTCTAGACGTTCATAGAGAACCTTGATTCAATACTCTTATAGCAGAGGTCAGAGTTTATCCGTCTGCCCAGATTCTTTGATTAGCCCCCGTTAGTTTGTTAGCTTTTGATACGTTGTACTGCTGAAGGATGTTTACGCACTTCGCATTTTCACAGGGGTCCAGCCAAGACAACAATTGGCCCTATTGGCAGTTTTTTGTGGCATCCTCGAAAGATACTGATACATTTTCAGCCTTAAATGTGAAGAACTTACTTTCTGTTTCATATCGCAGTCATTTCCATTGTCTTTGCTTACTTCAGGGCTCCATTCGAAGATTCTGCATGCGCAGAAGAATGGCTATGTAAATCATGACATATTGCTCAAACTGCCGATGTTTTACCCGTTCTGTTTCTAAATTCCTTATAAGCAGAAAAGTATCGTTCCATATCTTGAAAATCTAAAAAATACTCAATGATAGTCAGTTTTGACGTAAGTTCCTCTGCACTCGCGAGTTTCAAAACAATATCGACTTTCATAAGCAAGGGATTGCCTAAAGATTTCGAATCTGAACATATGAAAATCGATAAAACGGCTGCTTTCCTAAAAACAACCTGTTTATTTGCAACGTCGATACCAACATTTATGTTAGGCAAAAAATCATAAGCTTATTTTGTGTGCAAAAAAATCTTTTGGAACGGGCTAGGTAAATAAGTAAATTGTACCAAGTGCTCAAGGTTGATGATCTCACTTTCCGTTCTCATGTTACATGAATTAGGCTACAAACTTGCAAACCTGAGAAAGTAAACCATCCACAGAGCCGGAAAAAAACTCATTTGAATTGTTTTCTTCCACTGTTGAAGTCTGATATGTTACCGCCAAACAACGGACGACGCACCTCCCAGTTGTATATTCCGTTGATCCTGAAGCACACCGTGAGGATTATATTCAGACTGAACTGTGTCCGTTTTGTTGTTGCAAGGTTTTGGCTATAATTGACACCTTCAGCGTCTTTGCCGACGAAGTCCACCCTGTAACTTCAGCAGGTTAGACGCACCTTACGCGTGCGTTAGAATGTCAGTGACAGTAAACTTGCACAGCACCTACCGCACGCTCTCTCCCTCGTCGGCCAAGTACAAAGAAAGTCAAAAAGCCCGAAGGCTGCAGAAGGCGCAAGTTGGTTGGTTGGTAGCCCTTGTTGGATCAGGGGTCCCTGCCGGAGTCCAAACTGGGTGCAGTTGGGAGACGGAGGAAGGCCGCGAACACAGCTGGCTTGAGCCAAAGGTCCATAGGAGTGAGTTGGGTGCCTGGCCGGGCGCAAGTAACTGGCACGGCTGGAATCTCTACCTAGGCTGGCCACCATGACTATAATTACCGCTTATTGCAACTAAAAAAGTGTATCTCCTGAATACAAACACATAATCGTTGATCTGGCATTACTTTTGCTTATATTCTCGTCCTTCTGTTCAGGCGTCTAAATCCCAACGGAAGACACGTGACGGTGGCCTAGAGAATGTGAAGACCGAGTTCTTCGCTTGGGCTTCGCGTTGGTTTACCCAACCCCTCCTCCAGAAATATCCCTCAGCGTTGAATATTGGCCCGGGTAGGTGTCCGAAGTCTACTGGTTCCCCGCCAACTAACCCTTATAATGCAAAAATTAAAGTCCCTTAGCACTACTGTCAATGTTTTTTGTCGTCAGGAACGTTTGCCATTGTTGGCGCGGGACATTATTTTTCAAAATGATTGTTCGTGTGAGAGGAATGACTCGCGTAATTCTGATTTTATTGAATAATATGTGTGTGACCTTAGCCTTTAATCTCTTCTCCAGACGTGGTTTATCGTCTCCGATCGGGAATGTTCCTCTCAAATTAAACTGAGATTTTTTTGCTCTGGCCTAATTGGTGCCGTACGTCAAAGCTAAGTTTACCAGTAGGTACTTGTACTTGTTGCGGCTGCAATCATAACCGATCCAGTCGGCCTTTGATGTCCCGCACGGTACTTCTCTATGCGTGACAATCCATGGCAGCAGACATGAACAGTTCGATCTATTCTCTTCGCCGGCATCAGAGATCGTATACCGAAGGTCCAAGAACCACTTCCATGTCCTGACAGACTGAGTCGAGCTACGTTTTGGGCTGACCCCTGTTCGACATTTCCAATAAGGTTACCTGTAGGTTGCCACATGGCGACGAACAACCATTATTCCACATTGCTGTACCGACAAACCAGGAACATTTGGGCATTATTGCATCACTCACAATATAGCTTAATAGAGTAGTCGGGCGCATTTTCATGAGGTGGCCCGCACCACTGGGCCAGGGTTGCTCGGGCATGTATTCATTAGATTTCTTGGAAATTAAGTACGGGTGGGCCGGCAGTAGCCGCTTGGATTGTTTTTTTCGTTATATCTCCTAGCACTTTAGCTTACTAACCTAACTGCAGGGCAGCGGTGGCAAAAAAACTTGATTTATGATGGTTCACGAGCTTTGCGGCTTTTGTAAGGCTGTCGATGTGCCAGCGCTCAACCCACCACATTTGTGTACCACTCTCACTGCTGGTTTGCGA